AGTACTATGCAATGGAAAAGCTGTGAATAGCTTGCTAGCAAAAATCAAAACCACTGAAGGGCATATAGAATTTATAATAATACCCTGAGAAGGAGGTAAAACCAAAAGTAACCAAACTCATTGCCATCAAGTAATTTTCAACTCATAGTGACCCCATTGGGTTTTCAAGCCTGTAAATCTTGCAGAAATAGATCCCCACTCCCCGCTTCTGGAGAGTGGCTGATGTGTTTGAACCGCTGACCTTCTGGTTAACAAAGTGCCTTATCCACTACACCACCAAAACTCCTTGAGAAGGAGGTATGGTTGTGTAAAATTCTAGCCAAGGATTATTGCTATAAGGTGTTAAGGAATTGATTCCAGCTCATAGTGATTCTACAGAATAGAGTCAAACTGCCCCATGGGGTTTCTTAGGCAGAAATCTTTGTGGGGGCAGATTGCCAAGTCTTTTTGGTGGAGAGGCTTGCATATTCAAACCACTGATCTTTTGGTTTATGATGTGTATTGAGCACTTAACCTTTGCACAATGAGAGCTAATCTAATTATGTAGAAGTAGCAGGCAAAGCTGAATTTATAATTTTTATTAAATAAAATTGGCCTGTAGTTCTCAAAAATGCCAATGTTGTGAAAGACAAAGACAATTTGAAGAACTGTTTCAGATTAAAGGAGACTGAAGAGACTTGTCATCTAAATGTGATATGTGATCCTGCACTGGATCTTTACTTGAGGGAGAAAAAAAAAAATACTATAAAGGACATCATTGGTATAATTGACAAAAATGAAATATAGATGGTAGATTAGACAGAAATTTTATATTGAATTTGATAACTGTTTTGTGATTATGTAAGAGATTATCTGCATTAGGAAACATGCACTAAAGAATTAAATCGATAGCGTGCTTTTAATATTAGGTCATTTTGATGTATGAAACCTGTCATGATGTGTGTAACTGACTCTCATTTCAGAAAAAATTGATAATATGTATTTCCTTTCCTTGTCTGAAGAATATCAGATTTTCAACTCTTCTTTTCCTACTTCTCCACATTTACTTATTCAGTTCATTAAATCAACAAGGATTTATTGAGCAATTATTATGTTTGATTAATTTAAAAAATCCACATTGAGAGCCTATTATTTATTAGTATGGAGACTACACAAATGAAAAGACCTGTAATCTAGTAATGATTTGTCAAGGTGTTATAGGAAGACATCCAAGGGAGCTTTGAGGTGATGAGCTGTATATTGAAGGATGAACAGCAGTAGGTTAGGAAGAAGGGAGAAAGGGAATTCCAGTTAGAGGTGAACTGTGGGTAAAAAGTCATGAGGTAATTGGCATGCCTGCAGAGAAGGAGTGCGTGAGAGTGGGATAGGAGATAAGCTACGAAGGTAGGTTGGGTTTAAATCATGAGGGCCTCTGTGTTAAACTAAAGCATTTGAACATTATCCTATAATTGTGAAAACTCCCTGAAATGTTTAAAGGTAGAGAGTGATCATATTTGTATTGGCACAATTTGCTTATTCATTTCACTAATATTTATTGAGCATCTATCTACTTTGGGCTGGAGCCCTAGTGGTAGAACTGTTAACTGGATGCTAACTGAAAGATTGATGCTCTGCAGAAAAACCTAGTGATCTTCATAATAAAGATGATAGCATAGAAAACCCCATGGGGCAGTTCCACTCTGTCACCTGGTGTTGCTATGAATTGAAAATCAACTCAGCGGCACCTAACAACAACAACAACTATGGTCCAAAAAGTGTTCTAGGTCCTGGAATTCATTAAGGGAGAAACAAACAAACATCTCTGCCCTTGTGGAGCTTCTAACATTCTGGTCCTGAAAGATAAATAATACACATCATAAATAATCTGTGGACTATGATAAATGCTATGAGAAAAATAGGGAGAAAGTTAAAGAGAATTGGGATGATAGAATGAGAGTTATCAGGGTGGTTCTGAGAAAGTGATGTTTGAGCCAATACTTGACTAGAGGCCAAGCCTGTGTTGCTCTTGGATAACATTCAAAAAACAAAGCAAAACAAAACAAAACAAAAAACCAAATTCACTGCTGTGGTGTCGAATAGACTCATAGCGACCCCTTGGGTTTCTGAGGTGGTATCTCTACAGAAGTAGATTGCCCAACCTTCCTTCTGAGGAGTGGCTGGTAGTTTTGTACCTCCAGCCTTCTGGTTAGCAGTCAGATGCCTTAGGCACTATGCCACCAGGGACTCCTTGGATAACACTAGATTTCATAGAAATAAAGTGTTTTTAAACCCTGAATTTCCTTCCTGTGCTTAGATAAGAATATGAAATAATAAAAATAAAATGGATTTTAATGTCATCCTCCTGTCTTTTCTGGCCACAAATTAAAATGAAATAGTTTAATAGCTTCCAGTACAAGCACCCGTCAGGGAGGGATTCCACGTGCACATCACACACCCACACTGAACTAATGTTAGAGCCTGCTTCCACGTGTCTGCTTTTTATGCAGTTTAACTGAGTTTCTGATTGTACAGGAAAATTAACTTTTATTTAACTCATCTTATTTAGGGATTCCTTGCCAGGATGTTCTGGGTGTTTTCACATACACTATGTCATTTTCATTGACACTTACCTACATAGCTCCTGCTTTGTCCACTAGGTAATCTGCTTTCAGTGTTTGGTCAAAGATTGGACAACCAGTAGATGCTGAAGTTCCAATGTAAATCTGTATATACACAAGGATTCAGAGAGTGTGGTTCTTATTTTGGTGAATTTGCTCCATTCTGGAGCAAATTTGAAAACAAATTTGCATGCTCACAAACCTGAAGTGTAGGCTCAACAAGAACAAATCTTTGTCTGGGGGAAGAAGCACATTAACCAAGATCTCAAAACTGGTAAATGAGATAGACTGACCATCCACCATAGGCCTGGGTGGTTGAGTCCTTCGACCAGGACATGCATTTACCCTAAAAATCATCACGGTCACCCTAGGTGATGGCAGAACATGGGGTCAGAGTCAAGAAAGGAGTTATGGGGTTGAATCCTGATGACATCCAAGCCAGCCATCTGGAAGGTTTTCCCTCCCACTGTGGTTAGCTTGGGCCACAGATAGAACAATACCTGGGCTAGAACATCAGCCTCCCATTGTAGGGCTTAGAGGAACTGTGCTGCTATTTTCTTTTGTGCTGCTCTTATGCTCTTATGGCTTGTGACCCTTCTGAGTGAGCTAATTGTTATTTGGATTAAAGAACATGGTAAATCCACTTACAGACTTGGCCTTTATCTGCTACCTTAGAAGTTCTTTTTGTTTCCGGTGATGACTTTTCAGTTTGGGGTGGGGGCATCTCATTTTCATCTTATTTCTCTGCCTTGGATAATGGGGAGCTGGTATTCAAAGCTTGGACTGTTTATTTTCCAAATCTTGGTCTCTTCACTCTGTATCATAGCTGCTTTTTGTACACTCATAATGAGGGTAGGTCATATTTCTTTTTTTCTGTCCTTTGAATTTTATTTTCAGACATAATAAGATGAATATGTGGTGGCTTTGTTTTGGAGACTAAAGACATGGAAAATGTATTGCAAAAAGTAAACACTGGTAATTTTAAAAAGAATCACCTAGATTTTCAGAGTCCTACTTCTTATTCCTACCCATTCCATTGCCGTTGAGTTGATTCTGATTCATAGAGACCCTATATACAGAGTAGAACTGCCCTGTGATTTCCAAGGCTGTGAGTCTTTACTCAAGCAGACTGCCATATCTTTCTTCCACAGAGAAGCTGGTAGGTTTGAACAGCTGACCATTTGGTTAGCAGCCCAAATGTTTTAACCACTGCACCACCAGAGTTCCTCTTCCCTGCCTCCCCCTCCAAATACCAACTTAACTTTTAATGTTTCTAAAATCAATTCTGATGGATCTGGCTATGAAAATAATTTCTGCTTTCAGAAAAGCCCCCTAAAATACAGAGAAAGATTCTGCTTGGTCTCTTTTATAAGGTTGAAGGACTATTTCCACATTATGGTATAAGGTAGCTGTTTTTAGTTTGACATTTTCTTAAGTGACATAGAGAGCTGGAGAGAAACAGCTATTTATATACTTTTGCCTATATTCTTTGGCAAATACTTCTGTAAAGGGTGAAAAAGGAAAACCAAACCAAACCAATAAAAACCTAAAAGAGATGGTTTGTATTATAGAGATAGTTTATGGAATAGCATTGAGATGGTGATAAGAATTATTTCATCTTTACACTGTGATCAAATTATGCTTTATTATTGTTTGTAAATTAAAAAAAAAAAAATCTGAGTTCACCTTTATTGTAACCCAGAACAAACCTACTACATCTTTAATTTTTATCAGAAATGCTCATCCTTTTCAGAGATTCCAGCAGAAATAGTTTAGTAATTATTGTTGAAACAGTGATTTTTATTGGACTTTAAAGAGTGTCTCTAAAGAACCAGACAAACTTCCTCTAACTTGTATATTACTCTAATACAATCCCACTGTTTTGTCGGGTAATAGATGGCCACCTAAATTATCAAGTCAATTCACCCTCTCCTACTATAGTCCCTGGGCGATGCAACTGTTTATCACGTTCTATTACTAACTGAAATGTTGGAAGTTCATATCCACACAGAAGCACCTCAGAAGAAAGACCTGGCAACCTATTTCTGAAAAATCTGCCATTGCAAACCCTATGGAACACAGTTCTACTCTGACACATATGGGGTCACCATGAGTTTAAATCTACTTAAGGGTAACTGGTTTCCTCTGGAGATATGCTACTTCCATTATGTTCCGCAAGATAGGGAGTGAGAGAATTATTACTGTCACTTTATAGAAGAGAAATGTAAGGGACAGAGTAGGCCATACTGTGCTAGAGGTAAGGCTTCTTCTGAGGTATCTGAATCCCATTCCATTAGTTAGCCTAAGGAACCTTGTACTTCCCTTGCTAATACTTAATAATGGGTAAGGCTCATTGTCTGTCACTATTCCTGATATGCTTTTTATTATTAATTTGTACCTTAGGAGGATTCAAAAGGAAAAGAACCTCATAAATATGAAGAGATACCAACTAATACAAAAGATTCTGTTTATTATGCCAAAGAAGGAAAGAAAAAAACTTTTGTAGAACCTTTAATCACAAGTGGTGCAGGTAATGTGGAATTTCATTTTACTATAGATAATAAAAAATGCTATCATATTAAGAATGAATTTTTAAGATGAATTTTCTACTGCAAAAATATTTCTTGACTTGTACCTGTTGTTGTTATGTGCCATCGAGTCAGGCCCGACTCATAGCGACCCCTCCTTGGGTTTCCAAGGCAGTATCACTATGGAAGTAAACTGCCCCATCTTCCTTCCGAGGAGTGGCTGGTGGGTTTGAACTGGCAGCCTTCTGGTTAGCAGTCAAGTGCCTTAGCCACTATGCTACCAGACTTGTAACTATCTGGTATTAATAAAAAGTTTAGCTCTTAGGTTGGTGGTAGGGAGAGCAGAAAAACAAAATTCCAATTCTGTAGGCAATAGGGTTCTCTAGAAGCTCTGGTGGAATAGTGCCTAAGGCATTTGACTGCTAACCAGAAGGCTGGTGGTTCAAACATCATGGCTGGACATATTTTTCTCTTAAGGACTAAAGACACAGAAAACAATAAACAAAGCAATCTCTCGAGGAAAACATGAAAACAAAAGCCATCTAATTTGTTTAGATTTACTTTTTGAGTATGAGAGATGTTTAAAAGAGTAAACCTCAGTACTGATTTTAAAATGAGATAATTTTAAATATACTACTGCTGTGGCTACTGCTCCTGTTAACATTTATTGGACTCTTAACTGGGTACCAGACTCTACATTAGGCTTTATTCATGTCTTATCTCATTAATATGTATAATAGTTGCAGCAGTATATTGACAGGAACTGCCAGAAAAGCAAACCAGATTCAGAAGAGGATGTGGGATGGGGAATATCATTGCTGATGTCAGATGGATTTTGGCTGAGAGCAAAAAATACCAGAAAGATGTTTACTTGTGTTTGATTGGCTATGCAAAAGCATTTGACTGTGTGGATCATAACGAATTATGCATAACATTGAGAAGAATGGGAATTCCAGAACATTTGATTGTGCTCATCAGGAACCTGTACATAGACCAAGAGACAGTCACTTGAACAGAACAAGGGGATGCTGCATGGTTTAAAATCAGGAAAGGTATGCATCAGGGTTGTATTTTTCACCATACTTATTCAATCTGTATGCTTAACAAATAATCTGAGAAGCTGGGCTAAATGAAGAACACAGCATCAGGATTGGAGGAAAACTCATTAATGACCTGTGATATGCAGATGATACTTTGCTTGCTGAAAGTGAACAGGACTTGAAGAACTTACTGATGAAGATCAAAAACTACAGTCTTCAGTATGGATTCCATCTCAATATAAATGAAATAGAATTCCTCACAACTGGACCAATAAGAACATTATGATATATGGGCCAAAGATTGAAGTTGTCAAGGATTTCATTTTACTTGGATCTGCAATCAATACCCATGGAAGCAGCAGTTAAGACATCAGACTATGTACTGTATTAGGTAAATCTGCTGCGGAAGACCTGTTTAAAGTGTTAAAGAGCAAAGATGTCACTTTGAAGATGAAGGTGCATTTGACCCAAGCCATGGTATTTTCAGTAGCCTCACATGCAGGTAAAAACTGGAAATGAAAAAAAAAAAAAAAAAAGCCTGCAAAAGAATTGATGCATTTGAATTGTGATGTTGAAAGAATATTGAAAATACCATGGATTGCCAGAAGAATAGGAGCTCTTGTGGCATAGTGCCTAAGGCATTTGACTGCTAACCAGAAGTCTGGCAGTTCAAACCTGCCAGCCACTCCTCAGAAAGAAGATTGGACAATCTACTCTGTAGTGATAGTGCCTTGGAAACCTGAGGAGGGGTCGCTATGAGTCAAGTCAACTTGATGACAGTGAGGGTTTTTTTTTTGCCAAAAGAATGAACAAATATGTCTTGGAAAAATACAGCCAGAATGCTCCTAAGAAACAAGAATGACCAGACTTCATCACAAAATTTGGTCACATTGCAGAAGGGTTCAGTCCCTAGAGAAGATATATCATGCTTGGTAAAGTTGAGAGTCTGAATATGAGATGAATTGACACAGTGGCTGTGACAATGGGTTCAAGCATAGCACATATTGTGAGGACAGCACAGGACCAGGCAGTGTTTCATTTTATTGTACATAGTGTCACTGTGAGTTGGAACTGCATTGATGGAACCTGACAACACAAGTTCTTAAATATATTTTTAGGTAATATAACTGAATTTTCTTACATATATTCTATGATTTAGATGTCTGATCATTTGGTAGTGTTGCTTCTTACATACTTCTAATTGAATTAACAGGACACCTATTTGTTGGATATTTAGTATATTTCACCACCTGGACTGAATATTGTAGTAGGTGGGGCACAGAGATAACCAGGACTTTCAGGGTACATGATCTTTTGTGGAGACAGACACAAAGATAATGCTGAAACCAAGGCCCACTGAACTGAATACCTCTGTTGTTGTTAGGTGCTGTCAAGTCAGTTTAGACTTGTAGATATACCATGTGACAGAATAGAACTGCTGGGTAGATCTGAACCATTGTACCCCTAGGGCTCCTTGTGGGTATCTCCACAGAAGTGAAAACAAAGGGCAATAGGAAAACAAAGAAAGGTTAGACCCCGTGAGGGATCTGTGGTTACTGGGCCAGATTACCTTCTTGATAAAACAGGAAGCTAAAAGGAAATCAAGTTTTGCTCACCCTTATTATAACTTGATTTAGGTTAGAAAATGTACAATCTATGTTAGCTTTTCAATTGGTTTTAAAAAATGTCTATTTTATTGTTCCTCAGAAGGTGATGTGTATAAAGCTCAGACTCCAAATACAGAAACCCAAGTGGCACCAGAAGTAAAAGAAGACCAAGATATAAAAGTGGAAATGCCTGTGGATCAGGTATAGTTCATGCTTGGGGTACTGGGTGAGTTGGGACTACCGTTCTCGCTGACTTTCTTCTGGTTGACTCAGCAGCTTGCAATATCAAGCACTGATTACTCCTTCACTTGCAGGCCTTAATTCTGCTCCATCAGCCTCCACTTTAGTTTTCAGTCTTATTCTCAACCTCTTCACCCTCAATGTTATCCATGGCCTCTGTCAATTTCTAGAATGTTCCATTACCCACTGCCATGGAGTTGATGCTGACCCATAGTGACTCTATATGACAGAGTAGAACTGCTCCATTGAATTTTCCAGGCTGTAAATCTTTGAAGAAAATTGCCTCAACTTTCTTGCACAGAATGGCTGGTGGGTTTGAACAGCTGACCTTTTGGTTAGTTGCCAAATGTCTTAATCACTGCACTGCCAGAGCTCCTTGAATGTTCTATAATCCCTCTAATTTGCTATTATTCATCCTTCAGATCTGGTATCAAGCATTTTCCTACTTACCCATTTCTGTCCTCATAGGATTTCCTATTATATGGACCCTTATCACAATTTGTGACTACATACTTAGCATTATAATTATTTGATTAATGTTTCTTTACTCCACTAAGCTATAAACTCCATAAAGAAAGGGGTTGGTCTGTTTTGCTCACTATTGTAGCCTTGTGCTAGCAGAGTCTCTGGCATGTAAAACCAGAAAACCAATCCTCTTGCCCTTGAGTCAATTCTGACTCATGATATCTACCTTGCAGGTTTGTATATGAACTAGTGAAGTAATTCAGGTATGAGGGCCTAGTACAGTGCCTGGCACATAGTGGAAACTCAGTCACAGTTTCCTTTCTTCTGGATTCACAGAAAAGTGGGATGTGGAGTCTAAGAAGTGTCCAGGGGAGAAAGAAGGGATACAAATGCTGTAAGAATGGGGAAGGGGGCATAGGAGAATGAGAAAGATGCTGAAATTAAGACCCTCTGAGTTGCATACCTCTGTTGAAGCAAAAACAAAGGCCAAGAAGAAAACAAGAATGAGAAGACGTGTGGGGAGTAGAAACGCTGAACAGAACTTTTTAGCTGCTGATGATACTGAAGTCAGAAGAAGAAAAAATATTGGAAGAGTGGAATAAGCACAGGGCTGAGAGTCAGAGGACTGAGTTCCAGTCCCTGTTCTGCCACCAGTGTGTGCCTGGGCAAGTCTCCAAATCACCCTTGCCTCAATTCATCTAAGCAAAGGAGAGGCTTTGTCAGATGAGTACTACAAGCCATATTAGTTCCCAAATCACATGATTTTGTCTTCAGCTGCTATTTGAAAGCACACAAAGTACATTTCAACTTGCTAGGTTTTGAGAAAAGAATTTGTATTCTGTAAAAGGTCAATATTAACATTTGAGTCTCATTTTTATTTCTGTTTTATAGACCAGGTACCAACATCATTCTTATAAAGTCCTGAATCCCAGTAACCAATAAGATTTTTCCACTTCCCTTCTTTCAGTAATCAATCATTATTAACTTTGTCACTTTAATTTTAACTTCTGCTGTTTTCCTTTTCTATGATGTATTTAAAAATTTCTGTAGAGCATATCTTTCCACTTCCTTGTGGCATATTGAGCACTCCTGTATGTGTCCTGCTGTATTTTCTAAATATTAGTAATATTTACTCTTTTCCTTGACAGAATAAAAAATGACTAAAGATTTGTTTTTTTCCTAAAACATATTCTAATAGTTTAAATATTTTTTGTTGCACCTTTAATACTTTGATAGAAAATTAAAACATTTTAGGCCATGACTTTTATGCTCAATATATCCTTGATATTGATATATTATCAATATAATAATTGTGCGTTATTTGGATTAGACTGAGAGTGTTCTATACATGTTTTAAACACATGCAAAGTCCTAATTTAACAAACACTGTAGCCATAACTATTTGTATTGTTGTTGTTGTTAAGTGCCGTCGAGTTGTTTCCAACTCATAGCAACCCCATGCACAGCAGAACGAAACACTGCCCGATCCCCCGTCAGCCCCACAATCCCTGCTATACTTGAGCCCATCATTGCAGCCACGTGTCAATCCATCTCGTTGAAGGCCTCCCCCTCTTTCGT